TGTTTTTTTTTGTTTTTTTTTTTTAATTTTTTTTTTCAACATTTATTTATTTTTGGGACAGAGAGAGATAGAGCATGAACGGGGGAGGGGCAGAGAGAGAGGGAGACACAGAATCGGAAACAGGCTCCAGGCTCTCAGCCATCAGCCCAGAGCCTGACGTGGGGCTCCAACTCACAGACCGCGAGATCGTGACCTGGCTGAAGTCGGACGCTTAACCGACTGCGCCACCCAGGTGCCCCCTCCACTTCTTATTTTGAAATAATTATAGACTCATGAGTAGTTGTGAAAATAGTACAAAGAGGGGTGCCTGGGTGGCTCAGTCAGTTAAGCGTCTGACTTCGACTCAGGTCACATGATCTCACGGTTCATGGGTTCAAGCCTCACTTTGGGTTCTGTGCTCACCTCTCAGAGCCTGGAGCCTGCTTCAGATTCTGTGTGTGTGTGTGTGTGTGTGTGTGTGTGTGTGTGTGTGTCTCTCTCTCTCTCTGCTCCTACCCCACTCATGCTCTGTCTGTCTCTCTCTCTCTCCCAAAAATAAACATTAAAAAAATTAAACAAAAAAAATAGTGCAAAGGATTTTGTTGTGTGCTTCACCCAGTTTCCCCAAAATGTGACATCTTATGTAGCCACAGTACAATATCAAAACCAGAAAGTTAATAGTACTTTCAGTCTACAGACCTTAATTAGTCTTTACCATGCATCTTTGATTTTTAAAATAACAAAGTAATACTGTAAACAATGAAACTTCCAGAAAAGCACAAAGAAGAAAGCAAACCATCCATAATACCACTGTCAGGATATAACTACCTTTAGCATATTGTTACAGGTTTTTCTTTATACTTCTGACTGAACACCTGTTTTTGTTTGCTTTATAGAAAAGGACTATGTAATACCTATTTTGTAACTTGTAGAAATCTCTACTTTTTAGTGGATTTAGAAACTGAATCATAAAGAGAATTGATTGAAAGTAAAAATCCTGATAGCATATATGGTGTTGATCTTGATACCCTCAAAAGGGATGGGATTACTGAAGAAGGTAGGTCATTGTAGCTTGGGGTCAGCCCTTGAGCCAGGTGGGAGAAAGAAGTATGATGCTCAGAGGTAGCCACTCTAAAGAAGAGGGCAGGACTATATGGTGGCTGTCCACTAGGAGATCATTGAGAGATGACACTTGCTGAATGGCCCAATTGAAATTATATAGCATGAATTCAAGAAATCAGAGCAAGTCATTGGAAACAGAGTAAGATTAATGGGAAAAGAGAGTAATAGATAGTCAATTCATCAGAAGACTGAGTCTTTAACTTATTTTCTGTCTCTAGGAGAGAAGCCTTTCCTTTGTGAAGCCCAAGGATGTGGCCGTTCCTTTGCTGAGTATTCTAGCCTCCGAAAACATTTGGTGGTTCACTCAGGTACTAGAACTCTGGCCATTCATAGATTTCAGGGAAGGTGGAGAACCAAAAGTGTAAATGTGTGGGAGGGGGATGGTATAAAGAAATCTAGAGGGGGCGCCTGGGTTGCTCAGTCAATTAAGCTCTGACTCTTGATTTCAGCTCAGGTCATGATCTCATGGTTTCTGAGATCGAGCCTTGCTTCAGGCTTCATGTGCTGAGCATGTGGAGCCTGCTTGGGATTCTCTCCCTCTCTCTGCGTGTCCCTCCCCTGCTCCCACACATGCGCATGTGCATGGCCACACTCAACAATAAATAAATAAACTTAAAAAAAATAAAAAGAAATCTAGAAAGTAACAGACTGTTCAACATAAAGTTGGCTTCTCCTCATGACAAAATTAAAAATCAAGGCTCTTAATGATTGAATTCAAAGGGTTGTATAATCAAAGGGGAAAAAAACTGATTTTTCTTATTTTCAGCTTAGCCATTGACTGAATTGCTTTCTAATTCAGAGCTTTTCTGAGGAGATTTATTTGCAAATTTATTTGCCACTGTGCTAGGTGCTTTATAAATTATATCAGGTATGGACCATGGAGGTCATTCAAAGCAGAGACTTGCCAAGGCAGAAGTGAACTCAAAGTGGAGAGATTCTAGAACAGAATCAAGTAATTATTCAAATCGTTAGCCACAGGAAGTATAGGGAAGCCAGAACAGGAGGAGTGGAGAGAAGGAACTGGAAGCTGTTTACGATGAGGGCAGTGAAGCAGTTCAGTGGGAATGAGGGAGTTGGAAAGATGTAATCAATCAGGGACATGAATTTCAGAGCTGAGCTTGTAGGAACGGAGCAGTTTTTTATATGATGACAAGTTCTAAGCAGAGGTGGCAAATGATAACCTGTGGCTTAGATGTAGACTTCTACGTAGGTTTTGCTTGGCTTATAGAGTGTTTTTATTTTATTTTACTTAATTTTATTACATAAAATTATTTCAGACATACATAAGAGTAAATAAAGATATCTTCTTATATAACAACAATACTATTATCATACCTTTCTGGACTAACAATTTCTTGGTTTTATCTCATACCCAATCCGTGTTTAGTTTTTCTTCACTTTTCTCAAAAGTGTCTTTTAAAGTGGGTTTGTTTAAATCAGGATCCAACAAGGTTTAATTATTGTACTGAGTAAGTCTTCTCTAAATCCATCTGTACTCACTTTTTTTCTTTCATGTCATAGACTTACTGCATAATGGAGTTAGTTGGGTTTTATAGAATGTCCCATATTCTGGATTTGTTGGTTTGTTTCCTTTTATGTCATTTAACTTGTTCCCCTAGATTTCCTATAAAAGGAAGTAAGCCCTAAAAACCTCAAAGGTTCAAAGATTTAGCATGGATATGTTATAGATGTTCATATGTGTTTCATTATTTATGACATCAGGAGGCACCAAGTGCTTGGTTACAGAATTCATCAGTAGGTTCAGGTGGTAACACCATGATATTCACACTGTAAATTTCCCCAGCAACCTTTTGCTTCATGGTTTCATCGCTGAATGATGCCTGAATTGGTTATTTCATTAGGATATTAAAGTGGTAGGTTTCTAATTCTGTTATTTTGTTTACTTCGGCTGGAATTCTGTGTATAATAGGTCTCTTCTCTATGTAGTAGGGCTATTTGGTAATCTGTACAGGAATGGAGAATAAATATGTCATCTTTTTCTTTTAATTTCTTTTGATTATGAGTTTTCAAAATAAGAAATTGGTGCTCTTGTTTCTTCTAGTAGTGTCAGATAATTGCCTTTCTTTCTCATTAGTATTAGTTTGAATTCATGGGTTTCTGTATAGTCACTGTATGTCAATCCATTTTAGTTCTTTTTTAACAGCTTTTTTTAAGACTTTATTTTTTTAAATTTTTTCTTTTTTTTTTGTTTGTTTTTTGTTATGGTAGGAAAGGCCTTTATTGTTGGCAACGGGAAATTAAAAGAGGAGGGGGACATGACAGCTCTGGCTCCAGGGGTGGCTCCCCAGACCTACTCTTTCGCTGTCCTGGGAGAGCTTAAGACTTTATTTTTAAGTAATCTCTACACCCATCATGGGGCTTGAACTCACAATCCTGAGATCAAGAGTCTCACGCTCCACTGAGCTAGCCAGGTGCCCCATCAACAGCTTTTTTGATGTGTAATGCATGTACCTTGAAATTCATCCATTATAAGCATACAAATCAGTGATTTCTAGAAAATATATAGAATTATACAGTCATCACTACAATCCAGTTTTAGAACACTTCTGTCACACCAGAAGGTTTCTTTTTGCCCCCCTCGTTGTCAGTTTCTGCTTCCGCCCCCAGATCCAGGCAACCACTGGTTAGCTTTATGTCTCTATAGATTTGCCATTTCTGGAAGTTTTCTGGCCATTTCACTTACTTTTGTCACAGGCTAGTCCCTTGTAGGCATGTGTTTCTGACCCTAGCTCTAAGTGTGATTGAGTAGGTGGAAAGCCGACTGAGAGTTTTGGACTCGAGGACACAGAGGGTAGTTCAGATCGCCATGTGGAAGAGCCATCGGTGTAAACACTGAAGACTGTGAGAGTGGTGGCGGGAAGTGGAATAAGGGGGTATTATGAATGCAGGGTTGGGATCCTTGAGGATGGTACGTGTTCTGGAGGTCCATGGAAGACTGTATCTGGAAAGGGAAGGAAGTATTCTACATGGCCGCCATGACCTGATACCAGAGGTTGTGAAGGCAGCAGTACAGCGGGTGTGGGAAGGATAGGGGCTGGGAGCAGTGAGCGTGCCAAGCTCTCCTGGTGAACTCTTCCTGCCTTCTCTGGTGTACTGAAAGTTTGGAGGCTGGGTGGAGAATGGGAGAAGGAAAAGCCTCTTATGTTTAGCTTAACATTCTCTGGGCTTCTCTGTCCTGGTCTTGAATCCGTTCTCTTGCTGTCAGGAATGTACCCTGTCTTTTTGGCTACCCTGTCTTAACCTGGTCTCTGTTTCAGGAGAGAAGCCCCATCAGTGTCAAGTATGTGGGAAGACCTTCTCTCAGAGTGGGAGTAGGAATGTGCACATGAGAAAGCATCATTTGCAGCTAGGAGCAGCTGGGAGTCAAGAGCAGGAGCAAACTGGTGAGAAGAGAGGGTGTAGTGGAGGGCTACATCTTCTGGTTTCAAAAAGCCAAATGACTGGCATGTCTGGTTGTTTGGAAATTTTCAGATTCTGTGTTGGGGAGAAAGACCTGGTCTCACTGGATTGACTACTGGTTTCCAATGTAGCTGTACAATAAAATCTATAAGCTTTTAAAATGTATATATTTGTATTGCTTGTCCACTCTTCATTCCCAAATAAAACAATACAACCTGATAAATGAGATTATTTGGGAATAAGATCCCAGAATCTGTAGTTTTTAAGTTTCCCTAGTGAGTTTGGTGGTAACTCGTGCTGATCCATGAACCAGCATTTGAGCATTACTGTGATAAAGATTTCTATAAGACAAGGTTTTAAACATTTTTTATGTATCAGTCATGACTCCCTTTTTACCCTAACTTAAATTTGATAACTCATTTTTATTATTTTTTTCCACGTGTTATTTTAATCAATTATTTTATTCCAAATACTCCTTTCCAAGGACACATCCATCCCATTTCATACCTTAATTCTCCACCTGCTGATCACAGGCGAGGATATTTATCTATGAGGCTCCACCCTTCCCTTCTAGGTTTACTCTTGCTCCCAAAACTAGGTAGCATCCAAGATACAGGTTGGCTTCCACTTCCGAAAGAAAAAGTCAGCTTCCCATGAAGGGAAATGGGGACCAGGCACAGCCTTGACCGCTGCATGTCTCTTACATCCTATTCTCTGTGCAGCTGAGCCATTAATGGGCAGTAGTTTGCTTGAAGAGGCTTCAGTAACCAGTAAAAACCTGGTGCCTATGAATTCCCAGCCCAGCCTTGGTGGAGAGTCCTTGAACCTACCAAATACCAATTCTATCCTAGGAGTTGATGATGGTAAGACTTTCAACTCTCCTTTATTTGGGGAAAATGGGCTGCAACTAGGGACTAAGGAATGGGGTTGTCTCCAAAATGGAGGTTTTAATTAATTTCATTTCTTGTGAGTAGCTGTGGTATGACTGAGTAGCATTTGTATTCTTTGTCTCTGGGATGGATAAGTGAATCTGTTAAAAAAAATTTTTTTCTTTTTCATTGAAGAGATGATGTAACAAAAGAGTAACAAAAAATTTTAAGAAGAAAATTATCCATAATCCTAGCATCCTAGCCCAACTATTTCTATCTTTCCTATTGCAGTTTTGGAAGAACTTAACTTTTAAAACATTTAAACAGAACATAACCAGGTTTTACAGAGGAGATATAAAGCAATTTCTCCATACCTTCAAAAGCCATATCTTCTGGAGAAAAGAAAGGGCTCTCTAGGAAACAGTTGCTCCTCTCTGGTATAGAAATTTCACCCAAGTTACACAGGCCAGGCCCTCTTCTCTGAAAAACTTAACAGGTGAGGTCAGCATGCATTTATTCAGTGCCTACTGTGTGCCTGGCACCATGGGAAAGATAAAAGTAGAAAGCAGGGACCTTAAAATGTAGTTGAGAAGTCAAAATTTACATACGGGAGACAACAGTGAACAGAAAATAGTATATAAGCAAATGTTACATTGCACGGTGCAGTCTGGAAGAGCAGTAGGTATTGAAAGCCCCCCTGGAAGAAACTTTTAATTTTTTAGGGGGCTAAGTAGTTTATGTATGAACTGTTTCCAGAAGATTTTTCTGGTGATCTCACTTGATAAAGTTTGAGATCCTGTGTTTTAGTTACTCCTCATATCCCATTCAGTTTTGTATATAGGTGACCATGTTTGTGTAACTTCTGTGTGGAGTCTACATGGGCCAGAGTGTGCTTCCACAACAAGCCTCCTCGGTTTTGTAAATGATACTAGTGGATAACCAAAGTGTAAGACACAGAAATTGCATAGAACTACTTTGCCATTCTTAAGGAAGAAAGTCTCAAGGGAGGAAGGGACACTGAGTACAGGAACTTTGAAGCCAGACCTAACTTCTTGACTTGCTCATATTATGCTGTTTCTATCATTGGTGGCTGCTTTAACGGTTGGCTCTGGTCTCCTGATTTGCCTGCATAAGCAGATTTTGCCCTGTTTCAATGCACGGTTAATCCAGTTAACAGTGCTAAAGCTATATTACTTTAAATTGGTATATTACAAAATGGTCAACTCTTACATCAGGATTTCTTGCCTTTCCTTCCCATCCCCCTTTTGTCGTACTTTCTAAATTCACTGGTAATGATTATCAGACAGGAATTAATTTGGAAAAAATATAGGAATATGGGGTTTTCAGGGAACAGTTTTTAGTGTTCTTAATGAGGCTTGATAATGCAGGTAGGTATAACTGTGGATTCACTTTTCATTGAGACATTTTCTGCTGTTTCAGAGGTGCTTGCTGAAGGATCCCCACGTCCCCTGTCTTCAGTGCCTGATGTGACACATCACTTGGTGACCATGCAGTCAGGGAGGCAGTCATATGAGGTTTCTGTCTTAACTGCCGTAAATCCACAGGAGGTAAATTTATCTCTTGCCCTTACTTTGTTTCTGTAGAGACTAATGTGGACAGTGGTTAGAGATCTAGTTGAGAAAATCTGAAACTGACTCCAGTTTCCCTTTCCTGGAAACTTTGACTAGAAGATCTTCCTTTAAGCTAAGCATGAGACCAGATTTGAAAGAAACTTGATTGTTAGGGTCTCCTGGATTGGGAGATTGGTCACTCACGGCTGGGTCTCTCAGCTTTAATTTCCTTTGTATACATACCTTACTGAATGATATCTGCTCCTACTGTTCTCTGCCTATGACATAAGGGTATTGCTTTTATTTTATAAGGAAAATAATATCCTGGGACAAAGTGGTCCTTGAGCAAAAAGAGTAGTGACAAAATCATTGAAAGTAATCATTGTTCATTTTGTACCAGGCTGAACCAACTGGACATACAGGACATGTTCACTTGCTTGTGGAATGAGAACCATTATCTAAAGCAGGGAAAGTTTTAAGTTTATTCTAAGCACTCCCATCTTTATGGTCTTGGCTCCAACCCAGAAAACAGAATGAAAACTTGTCAGGCTTCTAGAATCTTAGGATATTTTATTGGTCTTTTGTCTTGGGAGTAAATGACTTCATCATGAGCTCATTTCATATGTATAAACTTTTGCCAAAACCTGGGTATCCCGGATATCTTCATATTACAGTATCTCTTACAGTGCTGTCCCATCTTTTTCCCCTGTCCTTTCGATACCACAACTGTTGCAGTATTCAAATGACTGCATCCTATATTGAATATTCTTGATTATTCTGTAAGCTTCCTGGGGATCCTCAGGATCACAGGGCTTTGGCTATGCATGTTCATGTTTTTGCCAGGATCTTTCCTTGTATGTCATCATTATGACCCATTGTCTGAGTCTTGCTTGTATTATATTGAAAGTTTTTTTGCTATTGGTATCATTGGTTTTTCCTAATCCACTTTCTCCTGGCTACTGCTTTGGAACATATCTCACCTATGAAGACTTCCCTTGTTATTTCCCTTGTTCATTTATGTGTTTTAAAATTTTTGTTATAGAAGTTTTCATAAAGTACAGTGAGAGAGAGTATAGTACTCATGTACCTATCACCCAACTTCAACAGTTAGCTTTCTACTGTTCTTATTTTCTCTCTTCCTACCTACAATTTGTTGCTGCTGTTCTGTTTGTGCTGGAGTATTTAAGATTTTTTTTAACATTTATTTATTTATTTTTGAGAGACAGAGCACGAGTTGGGGAGGGGAAGAGAGAGAGGGAAACAGAGAATCCGAAGCAGGCTCCAGGCTCTCTGCTGTCAGCGCAGAGCCCAATGGAGGGCTCGAACCCATGAACCCTAAGATCATGGCCTGAGCTGAAATTGGACTCTTAACTGAGCCACACAGGTACCCCTGTGCTGGATGGAGTATTTAAAAGCAAATCACAGACATACCATTTCATTTGTAGGTATTTCAGGATATACCTCTAACAGGTAAGTTTTTTGGGGGCGCCTGGGTGGCTCAGTTGGTTGGCATCCGACTTCGGTTCAGGTCATGATCTCATGGTCCATGAGTTCGAGCCATGCATGGGGCTCTGTGCTGTCAATGCAGAGCCTGGAGCCTGCTTCAGATTCTGTGTCTCCCCCTCTCTCTGCCCCTCCCCCTCTCATGCTCTGTCTCTCTCTGTCAGAAATAAACATTAAAAAAAATTTAAAAAACAAACCTGGTTTTTTCATAGCTGTCTTTATCACACCCAATAAAATTAACGATTTATTGATATCCTCAAACAGTAAGTCTATATTCCTTTTTTTTCTCAAAATGTCTTTTAATGGTTGGTTGGTTTGAATTAGGATTCAGACAAGCCCCATTCATTGCATTTGGTTAATAATTCTCTTAATTCTCTTTATCTCTAATAGTCTCCCCCTCTTCCCCCCTGTCTTTTTTTTCCAGAATGGCTGTTTAAGGAATTGGGTTATTTGTCCTATACAATTTCCTACATTCTGGTTTTGACTGATTGACTCCTTTTGCTGTTTAATATATTTCTCTATCCAGAGATTTTCTAAAAACTAGTAGTTAGGAGCTTAGATTCATGTTTTTTTCCCCCTTCCTTGGCAAGAATATTTTATAGGTGGTACTCTTGCTGTTACAGTTCATAGGAGACATATGGTATTCAGTTGTCCTCTTACTAAGCTTAATGATTGACCAATGGGTTACATAAAAATTTTGGTAAACATTACTGATCATGGCCTAGATCAGTTTTTTTTTTTTTTTAAGGCTTGCAAAATGGTGATATCCTAATTCCCTTTTTCTTTCTGCTTTTATGAACTGTGATCCTTCTGTCAGAGAAAAGCTTTCATCAACTACTGGATCGCTCTGCAATAGTTCAGAAAAATTATTTCTTTTTTACCTACTAGAAATTGTCATTCTGACAAGCCAGTCCCCAACACTCAGCCTTTTCCTTTTTTATATTTGAAACCTTGGAGCTTTTCTCTCCTGTATTGCTAAATACCTTTTTCAATGAATCATTCCAAGTTTCCTCAAATAAATACCAGATGTATAAAAACTTAGTCAAGGGGAGCCTGGGTGACTCAATTGGTTGAGCGTCTGACTCTTGATTTCGGCTCAGGTCACGATCCCAGGGTTGTGGGATCAAGCCCCATATTGGGCTCACGTTGCGCTCAAGTTGGGCTCCACGCTGAGTGTGGAGCCTGCTTAAGATTCTCTCTCTTTTCCCCAGTCCCCTCTCCCCCACTCGGGCACTCTCTCGCTCGCTCTTTCTGAAATAACAACAACAAAATGAACAGAAAACCTTAGTCAACAGGGTGCTATATACCTAATATGTGCAAGGCCCTCTGCTGGGTACTAGTTATACAATAGTAAACAAAGTACAATTGTTGCCTTTTATAACTGTGCAAATGGTGCCCCTGGAGTTGTACTGTACAGAGAGCATGGGAAGGGTGACAGATCAATAAACTGGCAATTTTTATATGGTGTAGTAAGTGCTAGCCTTGGGGGAAGTCAGGGAATGAATTCTAGGTTTGAGACCTGAGGAATGAATAGCAGTTATCTTGATGGATAAGTGGGAGGGATTGGAAGAAGATAACAGGCATAAGGGTAGCAAGCAGTGTGTACAAGGGTAGAAGGTGAGAGGGAACAGGGCATACAACTATGGAATCAAAAGGGTTGAGTAGGATGGGATGTGGAATGGAGAGATGGGCTGGAATGAAAAGTGAAAGCAGGAAAGTTATGCTAGTTTCTCTCTTGAAGGGCCTTAAAGGACATGATTTTATCCCAGGGGCAATGGGGGGCCACTGCATGGTTTTAAGGCAGGTATGACATGGTCAGATTTGTGTATGCAAAAAGTCCAGCAACAGCACATTTTTTCCCCTTGGGCCTAGGCACATGGGTCTTGGAATTGGCTTCATTGTGTCCTTGTCTAGGTGATGCTCACTCATAGTCTCAGGCAGACCCAGTAACACAGATCACCTATAAAAAAAAACAAAAAACTTGGCCTTCCCTCCAGGAGGACACTGAGGGTCTGCAGGCCCTAAATACCCAGTTTCATGGTGGAAACCCCAAACTCTTAATAGGAAAATATTAACACAAAGGGGAAAGTGCTGCCCTTAGTGAGGCTGAAAGTCCTAGATTATCACTTTTCCCTCACAGGTCCTCGGGTCCTGTGTATTTACGAACACACCCTCTGTCTGAGCCTCACTTCTTTTGTTTCCTTCACTGTTACCTCGATTATTTCTCCTCTTACCACAGGCATTTCCACTGCTCTTCCTCTCCTTTTCCTTATCGAGACAGGCTTATCACGTCATCTGATACCTTCATTTTTAAAAGCTACAAGGCCCTCAAGCCTCCAGGTTTAGTTCTCTTCCTCATCCAAGGTCCTGGTACTAACTGACCTTCCTCCAGTGAGTGAGGAATGTTGGGTCCTTAGAGATTCTCAGATAAAAGGCTATTTGCAGTCCTTAAAACAACAATGCTTATTTCAAATTTTTGGAGATAATCACACGCTGTAGATCAGACCTGTAAGAATCTACTTGTGCACTTCTACTTGGACCCCTGTAAATAGGCTCTAAAAGTAAAAACGTAACAAGAATATCAGAATAACCAAAGCAATTATCAGAAATTATCACGGGAGGGGTGCCTGGCTGGCTCAGTTGGTAGAGCATGTCACTCTTGATGTCGGGGTGGTGAGTTCAAGCCCCGTGTTGGGCATGGAGATTACTTAAAAATAATTAAGTAATTTTTTAGCACTACTTAAAATTTTAAGCACTACTTAAAAAAAAAACAACTCTTCTTAAAACATAAAAGAAATTATGGGAAATATATCAAAACTACATCTTATTCAAATGGTTCAGATTGAACAATTTTTATTTGCCCTCGGTGTTACCCAGCCTTCTGCAAATCAGATAGAGGACTTATTGTGCAGGCCCAATTGGGACCCCAGGGCTTTGGGACCTCTGCTGACTAAAAGGCATCCCAAGGGGGTTCTATAGCCACACTGAGCTCATATTCTCGAATGCAGGAACCAGTATAAATGCCACCCAGCCTTCAATAAATCAGAATGTCTTCCAAAAAAGAAAGAAACAAATTACAAATTCTTTAAGATTTCTCATCAAGTGTCATTGCTAATTTGAGTGCCAATATCTGGATCTTGACCTGGATTTAAAAGACACCATTCTTACATCCTAACAATACAGCATCAAATGAAATTTGTGGTTTAAGTTTTTACATTTTTCTTTAAATTTTGTTTAAATTTCTTTAAATTCCGTATTATTAAATTCTACTGTATAAATTACCTTTACCCAAATTGAGATCACCAAGTAAATCTATCCCCAGCTCAAGAATTTGTCTGGTTATATTTTTACTAAGCCATTTTTATTCTGAATTTCACTGTGTTATTCCCATCTCATTTTCATAACAAAATGGAACTCCGTTTCATCAATTGTACAGAACAACACTTTCAACAGAAAGCCTTGAGTGTAGGGTAGAAAGTCTGTTTTGGCTGCCACCCTCTTGGAGTCTCAGGCTTTCTCCCTTCATCATAGGGAAGGCATTCTTTTGGAACCTGGGAATCCCTGGATTCCTTACGAGTGGGAACTCATATAGAACTCACTGGGGTAGCCTCCCATTCCTCTTACTTCTGCTTGAGCTTTCAGCCTGTACTTGGACTAATGCTGCCTGACAGGAGATTTGGGATTCCACCATTTCCGATATATCTGTTAAGTTCGGCATGCCTCAATCACTGACTAGTGAGTACATGACTACGCAAACAATAGTTTGGCTTAGGACTCGGGATACCTTATTGTCATAGTGAAAATGCCAGCATCATGGGCCAAAATGCTGTCCCAAGGCCAGGATATGAAAGAGATCTATCAGTCTACGTATGTCTCTTGCTTTGGAACTAGATACCCTTGACTTACCCCTGTAGTACATTCCCCACTCCCACTTAAACCTTTTCCTTAGTATGAATTACTTTTCCTATTATTCAGTGGTAGCCTATTCCAGATTTGGTTTTAATCTTTTACAGTTACTAAACCAAGGAGATTTAACTGAAAGACGGACATGAGCATGGGTGTCAACTCCTGGAAGAGCAGCCCTGTCTGATCCCAGAGTGCACACAGTGGGAACAGGATGCTTACGGCTCACGATCTGCCAGAACCAAAATGAATCTGTGAAAGACAGGACCCCGCTTTGGCCTCTGTTCATCTTTCCTGACATAGAAGATGAATGTAGGAGAGCTTCTCTTCAAACTACATCTGATCCAGACAAGGAAGAAAGCAGTGAATGTGGGCTGGGTAACTGTACCTACCTCTCTTCCCACTATAAAATTTTGGGATGGACTTCTCCCAAAAGTGAATTTGATTATGTGTTGGCTGAAATTTCTTCAGTATGACTGTTGAGAAGGGGTTTTCCTTTGAAGAATTTTCATCCCAGACTCAGCTGTCTTTTCACATGGATAAACTAAGCCCTGCCACCAACCATAAAACTTCACCAAGAAGCTGAGCTTTCAAGATGCCTTGTTGCTTTGGAGAAGGGAGTGATGTCAATTCTGTTGTGGCATACTCCCTTTAGCAACCTGAGTAAGAGACTCTCTGCCACTGGGCTGCAAAAAAATAAATTACTTGAATCCCTACTTGGCCCAGGCTGAGGTACTATCTTGTCACATCCACCTCTACGTGGCCACTTTGCTTTCTTTGTTTATGGAATATACGATAGCATGTTAAAAGGGTTTTTTGGGGTTTTTTTTGTTTGTTTTTTTTTTAAAGTTAACTATCACATGATTCAGAGCTTCAGTTGTTTTCCCTTTAAATAAACAAGACAGCCCAGTAAGTTCTTTGGCTCCTTGTTTTGGACAAAATTTGTTTTCTCAGAGAGGAGATTAAGAAAATAGTTCCGTCTTTCTCTTTAAGACAGGGCACCGATTTACCCTTTGGATTCCATACAGGTAAAACTGAGCCCAGGAGTCTTGGGGAACATGACATAAGCATCTTCATGTCTAATTAGCAAACCTAGATAGTAGTTGTTGTAGTATCGCTCCGTCTTCACCAGAAAGGACCATGTCTGAGTCTGGAAAAATAGCAATAATATACTTTTGAATTTTCCAGAATGTTAAAACATGAGAAATTGGGGGCTTCTGGTAAGAATAGGCACTATTGCTATCATCCACAGCTACTGATAGAGAATAATTATCACTGGTGAGAAGAAAAGTATTTAAAAGACCGCTTACTAGTAGAAAATCATGGCTGTCAGAGAATTTTCACATTTATTGAAAATGAACCTCAGGCTTACACACATACCATGCACACAGTGGCATATTTTAAGCAGATAACAGGAAAAATTAACTGCTGTTTTAAATTCAGTAGTTATAGTTCTTAAGTTGTTAATGACAAACATAATCACCCTTTGTTATGTAGATTGAGTTCATGTCAATATCTTGTATTCTTAAAATGCCAATTTTTATTTTCTGTAGTCCTTACTTTTATACTAGAGCAGTGGTTCTTAACTGGGAACATTTTTGCCTGCCCACTGCCCCACATATGGCAATATCTAGGGACATTTTTGTCATAACTGGAGAGGGCATTACTGGCATCCAGTGAGTAGAAGCCAGGGATGCTGCTAACGTCCTACAATGTACAGGACAGCTCCTTCTCCCAACACCCAACACCGACACACTCATCTGGCCCTAAATCAATAGTACTGAGGCTAAGAAACCATGTACTAGAAGTTGCAGACTTGTCTTCCTGCAAGTGTTTTTGTTTTCCCACACAATATTTCTAAGTAATGTTTTAATTGGTTGCCAACAGGACATTCCTGGCTTCTGTTTGAAAACTCAGTTGCTGATCTGGCAATTCTGGGCCTGGGTTCTAGCTATTAATAGTGGACCTTATACCCAGCCCATGTGATCCATTTGTTTCCTAACTGGCCCCTGTAGGCATTTGGGTGTGTGCTCCTTTTTTAAGTAGGAAGCCCAAGAAGCAAGAATGCTTAACTCTGCTCTGAATCCTCCACCCTGAGGCTTTTCACTTTGATCTGCTTAAACCATTCCCTGTTTGTTACCTGCTACTTTTTTTCTTGCTACTTTTCTTATCCTCATTCTCCAAGACTAGCCATTGGCTCAAAAGCCAAGTTTTGCCTGCCTTGACTCAACCCCAAGTTAGTTACTTAATATTGAAAAGCAGTAATTTTAAGTGTTACTGATTAAGCAAGTGATTTGAAATTATCTAGCAATTCATGAGACAGCTCCTCCAGTTCTTTTTTGGGGCTTGTAGGCTGTTGTAGAGATTCTTCTAAATCCTGCTGTGGATTTCTGGTGCCGAGTTTTGTAGTTTCATGGGTGCTACAGAATAAATTAAAGCATTATGAAATAAAATGTTTGTAATTAAAGCATTTTGTAAGGCTTAAGGATGGTTTCAACATTTTCATTATTTTATATGGGGTGTAAAGGGAAATTTAAATTTCTAGGGGGAGAACTGGGATAGGAATTAGGGGAGGAGCCATTAGGATTTAAGAAACAAAGTTGAGAATAATGGCAATAACTATGCTTTTCTTCTCCCTTTTGATACCAGTGGAGGGGTGGTGCTAATGAGTTACTTTTTAAAGAGTGCTAGATTTCAACAAGCCACGGTGATCATGCTGGGGGGGGAAGAGACAGGCTTTGCTTGTTTAGGATATTATACCTTTTATTATACCTTTTATTTTGCATCTTTAAAGGTTTTTACTTTCAATTACCCAAACAAAATAAAAAGTGTTAGAAAAGCAGTTTTATCATTTTATAGTAAGTAAAAATATATATGTTTGTCCCTCAAAAGTGAAGTAAAAATATTCTTGACTGATGGCCCTAGAACTAGAATTGGAAAAATGATCTGTTTCAAATCGAAGGAACCTAAACCTAATATACAATGGTTATATTTTATTAACAATAACAACTGCACTTATTCTCCCAATTTAAATATATTATCTGGAGATCTCTGGCTTAGTATTCTATAAATACAGGATTGTGATCTCAAAATATGTGTGGCTGTTCTAAAGGTCCCTCCCAGTGGCATTACTAGGGATCGTAATCTGAGAGCCACAGGGTGACAGGAGCACGTGAGATTATTACCTGGGACATTCAGGGACTTCTGACTGCTCCTTCCATTGTACAGCCCTGGTGCCCTCACCCTTGTTCCTCACAAAGTCTTCATCCAGCCCAGCCTGCTTCAGGGTGTCTCGATACCGTTGTTCTGCTTCTTTCCTAGCAAGGTCCTGAGGAATGGAAACAAATCTGCTGTAGCTGTCTTGTGAATTACAAGGTAATTCTAAATCACTTGCTTAATCCACATGCCTAAAATTGTCCCCATTAGTGCTAGGCACAGATTTACATGAAAATTACTTAGAGCCTGTTTTCAAGCCTTAAAGAGCATTGGAACTACCTGAAGATCTTGTTATAATGTAGATTCTCATTTGGTAGGTCTTAGATAAGGTTCGAAACTCTGTGTCTAACACTCCCAGGAGATGCCAACTGTGAATTTGGGAGCCACACCTTTGAGAAGCAAGGATTTAGATTTTTGGACCACCAAGTAAGACTCAGATGAAAAAAGTGGACTAAAAATGTTTTAAGATTTAAAAGCAACCACGAGCACCTGGGTAGCTCAGTCAGTTAAGTGTCTGACTCTTGATTTTAGCTCCGGTCATGATCTTACAATATGTGAGCTCAAGCCCTGTGTAGGGCTCTCTGCCGGCAGTGCAAAGCCTGCTTGGAATTCTCTTTCTCTCCACCTCTCTCTGCCCCTCCCCCGTGCTTTCTCAAAATAAACTTAAAAAAAAATAAATAAATAAAAGCAATCAAGCCATCATCAGGAACACTAATATATAACAAATAGAAAATAAGCTGCACTAGTAACACTCTTAACAGGATAGATGGTCTGTATGTGGACCAGAAAAAGGTTATTTCTTTGTTTTAATTTAAATGTTTAGTAGCAAAATCACATAGAGCACTTTGTATTTTTCCTAGAGTGGTGAAAGATCTGTTGAGATCTGAGAGTGAGCTTTGCTGGAAAGAATTAACATAAAGAGGAGAGATCATTATGAGAGATTTTGAACAATGCAAGTTGCTAAGTAAATCCAGTCCAGACAGTCCAGCATGTGTGCAAGTGTGTGTGTGTGGTATGTATGGGGGTGGGGAGGGGTGGACTCAGGAAATGCCTAGATAACACACTGGCTGTAAGATGGAGATAATGTCCAGCAGTTGGAACCAGGTTACTAGGGAACTCCAACTTTTGTCTGAAACTAGAGAGAAGAGGGATCGACAGCCTGATACAGCCCAAAACTTCCAGGAATAGTGGCCTTTCTAAGGCTGTTCAGATAGCTCCAGAGCTCCCTTAAGGAGATCTCAACTGGATCCAACTTCCCTAAAAGTCTAGAGAACATCTTAAAATGATTCTTTCATCCTGAAAGCCACTTAATCTGAAAAGGGCTTGCTGGGGTGCTTGTGAGCATCCCAACCTCTGGGGACCTATAAATGTGCCACAGCTCTAGAGGCTGGGGATGCCCAGGGCACCAGCACTGCAGGGGAAGGGATGATGTTAGTAAATTAAAGATATTCTCACTAACACAGCCAGACTGTTACTGTGTATGTGGCATCTAGCCCTCAGTCTAGTGAAAGCTAGACTGTAGCGAACACTCCCAGAAGTGAAACACTTCACAGATGCCTCTGGAGTCTAGTCTTGGGTGAAATCAGTCCAAGCAACATTCACCATTGCACTACTTCTTTGCGTGGAAATTGGTAACAGGCTCAATTTTGAATCTTTCTGATCCTCAAGGAAATGTTTAATACCCAGATATTAAACTTTTCCATCATTTCTTTTTTTTAAATGTTTACTTTTGAGAGAGAGAGAGAGAAAGATAGAGCATGAGTGATGGAGGGGCAGAGAGAGAGGGAGACACAGAATCCAAAGCAGGCTCCGGGCTGTGAGCTGTCAGCACCCAGCCTGACATGGGGCTCAAACTCAAGAACCATGAGATCATGCCCTGAGCCGAACTCAGAGGCTTAATTGACTGAGCCACCCAGGTGCCCCTCTGTTCCATCATTCCTAAAAGCACTTTCATCCAAGACTGAGAGAGAAGAATGATGGCTTAGTTTTACCTTGGTAACTTGTTCAAAGAGATAGGGCCTTGTTTGTATTCTCTTCTTCATTTCTTCCAATTCTTTCTTATACTCTTTTGCCCTTTTACGGTCATTGTTCCTGGAATTAACAAGATTTTTAGAATGAATTCTTTTTCCAACCCTTCATTCCAGTTAAGCAGAGTAATTCCCAAAGACATTGTAAATTCCTAACTGCCTAGCAAAACTAAATCCTTGACTGTGTGCGATTATAGGAGCCTACTTTCAAGGGCAATGATCTGTTGGATCCCAAGACAGATACCCTTTGGCACATGGAAGACACTGACCGATTCTCTTTCAGCTTTGCTTTGAACACTTCCTCCAGGCTTTTATGAGGATCCATGGCTTTTGCACGCAAGGTCACAGATTTAGACATCGCTTGACACTTCTTTTTGTGCATCTCCAACCACTGAGTACTCTCATCTGTTTTGTCCTTTTTTTCAAGTGAACTTCTGAAGAAAGGAGGCAAAAAACACACAGATGACCAACTTGAGTATATTAAAAGCACTCTTAGTAACCTCTGGAAAGTGAAATGGTGTTTTCTATGAGTGGGGTAATTTACCACACTGGCGCTTCAGAAAGAATAGGATTCTGAGATTGGCAAATGAAGCCTTCCCAGCACTATGGACACGGTGATTTTCTGCCCCAGGGGAAGTTCAATAATTGAACTGAAATACAATATCCTTACACTAAGGCTTCTGGCCTGTCTGGAAACAATACTAATAGTTGCCATTTGCTGAGCTACTCTACTCTGAACCAAGAGCAGAAAAGAATCAAGTGCTTTATATCAATTATCTTTTGTAATCTCCAGAACTGCCCCATGAGGTAAGAACTGTAAGCCCCTCTTTTTATAGGTGAGGAGAGCGAGCCTCGGAGAGGATAAGCCACTCACTCAAAGCTACCCAGCATGCCAGTGGAAAAGCCAGGATTAGAACCAGTATGTCTGACTCCCAAGCCTTTGCCCCTGACCACTGCACTGTAAACAGTGGGCTAGAAGGTGCCTGGTTTCGTGGTCCTTTGGGACCACAGAGAACTGGAAATAGGCCTCTTTCCATGCACAGTTTGGGGTTAACTTATAGCAAGCACTTAGTCTGCGTAAGTATCATTTGACAAGGTACTAGAGAGGGAAAACAACTGGGCGCCTGGGTGGCTCAGTCTCACGTTCCAGCCCCGCATCAGGCTCTCTGCTGTTAGTACAGATCTCGCTTTGGATCCTCTGTCTCCCTTTCTCTCTGCTCCTCCCCCACTCATGCTTTCTCTCAAAAATAAACATTTTTTAAAAAAAGAAAAAAAAACACCAAGATTCTTGCTTGAAGGCATGAAAGTTTAGTCTGCTATTATATCAAACTCCCCACTGCTGGGAAGCAAATATGGATATCCCCTCGGGGGGCCAGCCTCTGGCCCATAAGGCCTACCTTATTGGGACCTCAGGACACCGATGCATTTAGCCTTGATTTAGTAGCTCTGACTATGACATTTGAGGAAAAAGGGAGTATCTCTTGGATTCTAAATATATTTCTAAAATCCCTGTTGTGGAGCCTAAAGAGCCAAGTTGGTTAGCCCCACAGGAAAGCACTAAGATGCTCGTCCTCTCCCAGCGCTAAACTGCTTGTTACACCACAACCTTTCGTGCTGACCTCAGCTCAGAGGTCTAGTGGAGGAACTCTTGCTGGGGTGCTGGCTCGTCGAGAACAACACCATGACAGAGGCCAGTTAAAGAATGAAAAAGTAAGGAGGCTCCTGCTTCCCGACTCTGCTAGTTCGGTTGAACTAGCAGAATCTCAGAGAATCTCAAATCTGTGCAGTGGATGCCTTCTCTTTGTGACAGGGTCAGCCACCTGCCAACAGGTTTCTCTGAATTCCTATTCCTAATGGCTTCCTCTCTTCACTTATGTTGTTCTCTCTGGAACTTTCTTTCTTTCCAGCCTTTGGCTAATTCCTCATTCTTCAGACATCTATTAAAGAGAACCCTGCCCCAGGCTGCCCAGAGCCTCCCAGGTCCCCTGTATATCCCTGTCATTGCACTACTCACAAAGTAGTAGTTCTTTGATTTTCTATATTTCATACTAGCTATTAAACTATGGGCTCCATAAGGTATCTCCAGCCTTAACATTGTGACTGGCACAGAGTAAGTCCCCCATGAATGATGGCCAGATGTTCTCCATCACTACATGTGGAGAGTTACCTGTATTCCTGTCCTGATCAGAGAAATCCCTTCCACCCATTTAGGTCTCTGTAGTAACAGGAGAGGAGGCCCAGCAGCAGGATGGTTTCTAGCATTTGGGCCAGAATCCGAGCACTGACCACTGAACTTGGTCCTGGGCCAAGATCTCGAGCCTGACCACTCACCTGACTGCAGACTCCCTCCTCCTGGTGGCATCTGTGATGTGCACAGGGAGGGTGTTGGCAGAGAGAGAAGCAAGGCCACTCAGAGAACGACTCCTTGGCAGGGGTGTGGCTGGTGACTGTGGAGAGTCCTAGAAGAAACGAAGGCTGGTATTGGTGGGACAGCAACGTGTGATTAGTTTCTATCGTAAGGAGGATTCAATTTCAGTGAAGGACTAGTCAGACCAGGAATCTTTTTTTTTTCCCTGGGATTAAGGAAAGAGTAATGAGTTCCCAAGTTTATTACCAGGCCAAGAGTTGGATATCGATCCAACAGCTGAGCCAGTGTTTTTAAAAAAACAAAAATGTCATGAGAAGTGCCGTATGTTGAGACCTGGCCCATTCCTGTATTTTGGGTCTCAGGCCAGGACCCTCCCGTAACTGCCCAGGGCTCTCACCCTCCTCTCTCCAGAGGTGGTGGTGTCACAGGGCCGCTGAGCGCGACGCAGGCTGCCGGTTCTCAGCAAGAAGGGCTTGTTGTGAGTCACCTCTCTGGTGTCCCTTCCCTTGGCAGCTCTTCTCTGGAAGGCCTTGTAAAGGCCCTCGTAGTCAGGGACGGCAGGATTCACACGAGGCTGGAATCCAAAGTCAGTCTGCAGAAACCCAAGCTTTTCCTTCTGGGTTCGGGTAGCTGTTCGAGGCTGGGGGTCAGCCCGGCTGCTGGAGGACATGATGGGGGAGGAGGCCATCTGGAGCATGTCTAGGGCTCGCATCTGGATGCGAATTTTCCTGAAGAGCTCCGCTTCTGTGGAGAAAAGGTCAGGGTGGTGATGGGTGACAGGGGACCCTGCCTCACACCTAAAGGTTTGGGGAAGGTTCCCTCTAAAGCTCCAGTGCAGTATTGTGCTGGAGCCGATTGCCAGCTTTGCAGGATTTTGTGAACCAGTTGACATCATATGGGAAGCTCCACCTTGGCCAGAATAGGTGTATTTTTACCAGGGAAAGTGGCAAACACTACAAATCAGCTTGCTTCTTCTTTTCTGGAGAGAGCTCATTCCTAAATGTTGACCAGGACACCCTGCCATGTGCCAGCAGGCTGCAGAGGCAGCCACCATTTACATTTACTGAGCGCGCTCTGCGGTTCCTCCTTCAGAGGCCAAGCCAGAGGGGTGAGCCGGTCTCCTTGGCTCAGGAAGGGCCCCGCCATCCACCCAGAGGCCCAGGTTATTGCCCAAATCATTCCTGCCTGCCTTCTCTCATCAGTCCCCCGTCCTGCAGTCTCCTCCTCTTTATTTTTTTTTTAATTTTTTTTTTTTAACGTTTATTTTTGAGACAGAGAGAGACAGAACATGAATGGGGGAGGGGCAGAGAGAGAGGGAGACACAGAATTGGAAGCAGGCTCCAGGCTCTGAGCTATCAGCCCAGAGCCCGACGCGGGGCTCGAACTCACGGACTGTGAGATCGTGACCTGAGCTGAAGTCAGACGCTTAACTGACTGAGCCACCCAGGTGCCCCAGTCTCCTCCTCTTTAACCATGTTCCGGTCTGGCCTCTCTTTACCATCCCTGCTGCTAATTTCAGTCTCTCCGCTGAACTGGTGACATAGTGTCCTATAGATCAGCATCCCTCCGGTCCTGTCCCTCCCCCTTAATCATCTCCACAGCATCAGAGTGATCTTTCCGAGCTGCAGATCTGATCCTGAGCCACCCTGTTTGAAACCCTTCAGTTGGCTCCCCAGTGCCCTTGGGATAAAGTCCAAATTTCCTCCCCCTCCCCCAGGTCTGGCCCATGCCCGCCTCTCCCTCCCTGCTCCCTCTTCTCTACCCTCCATCCTCCTCCCATCCCTTGAATGTGTTCAGCCTCCTCTAACCTCCACGCTGCTCTCTCTGATGCACTCTTCCTCCGTCTTCCCTGAATTAAACACACTGCTCATCCTTCAGGGTCAGCCTCAGTGCTCACTTTCCCTGGGGACCTTCCCTATCTGTCCCCACCGCCTCACCATGTCCTAAGTTAGGTCCCTCTGTTATGTGCTCTATATGACCCTGGAGGCTCCCACCTCTAATCCTTGCAAATGACTCATCACATTTGTAATTTTTTGCCTGTTATCTGTCTTCCTTCCTCCCTTGTCCACAAACTCCATGTCTGTTTATTGAACACAGAGGAGTGCCTGGGGCTTGACACATTACTAAATGAGTAAAGCCTGAGTCCTTTCATCGAACCACATTTCTTGAAATGTGCAGGTCACCAGGATGGGGGGGTGGGGGCAGGCGGTAGGAGCTTCCCTCAGGGGCAGCTGGTGGTAGCACCGGCCCAAGCTGGTCCCTGGATGCCTCCCTGGTTCTCTGTTCTTGTACCTGTGCTGCTGCAGACGCCTTCACACCCACTCTCTGAGAGAGAGGTCATCAGGGCAAACTTGGAGAAGGCTGCATGACCTCTCACTCTCCACTCTTTACAGGGCTCCCCCATGATACAGACGGACCCAACCGGCAGGGAGCGTGGCCTTGAGGCCCGTCCGCCCGAACAATGAACTTATCCCCAAGCCAGGCTGACCCCCCGAGCCTAAGTCTCCACGGCACGTCTTGGTACTCCCCAGGTAGGAGGCAGCAGGGTGGGAAGGATGTCTTTACCTTGGAGTTTGTCCCCGAGGGCTGGCTCCAGAATGGACTTGGGGATCCTTCTGGTGGCATTCTGCTTGGGGACGTTGGCCTTAGCTGTGGCAGCCAACTCCCTCTGTTTAGCAGCTTCTTTTCTCTGCTCCTCCTTCACGAGGAAGCTGAAGGGCTTCAGGGAAGAGAGGAGCCGTTCCTTCCTCTTCTGGATCCCTGCCTGCCTGCGGGCCTCACTGCGCTCCACGATCTCCTGGTAGAGGGGCAGGTAGATGTGTGCTGGCACAGGCTGTGCCCGGAACTGCCGCTGGCACTCGGCCTCCTCCTGGGCCTGCCTCTGGGCCTGCGTCCTCTCCTGCTCAAAGGAAGCAGGTGAGGCCAGCCACTGCGCCTTCTTCCGGGCCTCACGCAGTGTCATGCGGAACGGCCGTGGGACGGTGATGGTTGATGCCCAGGAGCTGATGCTTCTGTGCTGGGAGGGAGGCCTGGAGCCTGAAGGTGGCTGGGGCTGAACCTTGGGAGTGTCGGAGGGAAGGCTGCTCAGGGAGCTGCAGCACCATGGGGAGCTGCACCTGGGGGGAGAAAGCAGCTGTGCGGAGGCCAGGCCAGGCTGGAGGCCCTTTCCTCCTCCTGCTCCTTCCCACACCTCCCTCCCAGAAGACGGCAGCTAGATCCTGAGCCTAACACAGCCCTGCAGGCGTCTGGGCCTGTGCCTCGCTCCTTCCTTCAGGCCATCTAGCAGCCCTAGTTGGAAGTCCTTCCTCAGAATTGATTCAAGATTTGCCACTTTGCATTCTAATATTTTCCTTTAAAGATTTAATTTTTTAATGTTTAAAAAATGTTTATGTATTTTGAGAGAGAGAAGAGTGTGAGTGGGGGAGGGGCACAGAGAGAGGGTGAGAGAGAATCCCAAGCAGGCTCCGCACTGTCAGGCCAGAGCCTGACTCCGGGTTCAGTCTCACGAACCGTGAGATCACGACCTGAGCCGAAATCAAGAGCTGACTGTTTAACCGACTGAGCCACCCAGGTGCCCCTTAAAGATTTTCTTTTTAAGTAATCTCTACACCCAATGTGGGGCTCGAACTCACAACCCTAAGATCAAGAGTCTCACGTTCCACCGGTTGCCCTGCATTCCATTATCTTCATATGGGAGAGAGAACAGTGCAATGGTGCAGAGCAAGGCTTTGGAGTCAGACCCAGGTTCAAATCTTGCTTCAAACAATTACCAGCTGTGTGACCTTTGGCAGGGTTTGCTTGGAACCTCAATTTCTTCATCTGGAGAATGGCAAAAATAATAGCTACTTACAGGGTTAGTGGGAGGAGAAAATAAGATACGGTGTAGGCGCATATAACAGGGTTGGGCCAAGGTAAACGTACCTTGTTGCCATTCTCAGGGAGGTAGTGACAAAGGCATCCCTTTAATCAATTCGAGTGCTTCCAATGACTAAGGGTTATCCAAAGTGATTTAGGACTGCTGGGTAGGAATCAGAACGTGTTTGGCTCCGAAGGCCTGATTCTGAGCTGGAGCCTCGGTAAGGGACAACTTTACTGAGGAAGAGGATGAGGCCCAGAGTCATGAAGCAGCTGTTGAACTGCAGGGCCTTCCTTACCTCGGAGACACAGGGTACTGGGCCTCGGGCTTCCCCCTGCCTTTGTCTTGGAAGAAACTCTCCAGGTCCTCATCGTCTTCAGAGAAGTCCTCGCCACTGTCTGGGTTGTTCTCATAAAGGGATTCCAACAGGCACCACCTGCCTTTCGGCTTTAGTACCTGTAGGGTCTCATAAAAGCTCCCAGTGGAGTCCGAAGAATTAGAAACCGTCTCCTCCTCCGGGCTGAGGAAGTCATCGAGTGTGCCAGCCCTGGGCAAAACCAGCCCATCCCCAGACAGCTCTTCTTCCGTCTCTGTGTCTGGGGAGGATTTGGGGGGAAATCTCTAAAACGAAACAGAAAAGACTGTGGGTCAACTATAATTTCAAATTTTCTCAAAGCCTAACTGTTAATTTCACTTTGAATAGGTCTCTGTATATTAGCGACTGGGAAGGAACGAAGAAGAATCAGATGTATTCCTTGCTTTAAAGACATTTCACAAATTGGTATGTGGGCATATGCTTGGTTGAAGGGCAGGAAAGGGAAGCAGACCGCTAACGTTGGTTCCCTACTTCATGTGCAGTGAGCATTTGCAGAGTACTTACTCTGTATCATGCATTCTGCCCCCGGCACTCCAGGAATCCTACCCATGACCTTGGCCACACTCTGGGCCTTGCCCTATTTGGGTTTCACCTACTTTTTTCCAGTCTTCTTTTTCCTGCTTCCTTTGTCTACACCTCTGTTTTCCTAATAGTCTACCTAATATCCCACCTGTTACTAGGAATGAGTAATCAACAGGACAGATAATGTGGTCTAGCTGAAAGAACAATGTCGTAGAAAGTGGAAACCCAACTGGGTTTAAGTACTCCATTCACTTAGAAAATAGTTTTTGGGTGTCTTATGTGCACGGAGCATTAGGCCGAGAACGAGTCAAGCACATGAAGCTTACATTCTAATGAGAGGGAGAGAGACAAGTATATGATAATAAATTCTCAGTCCTGGGCTGATCTTTACTTTCTCGCTGTGGAGGAGTTTTGGACTGACATCTGATTGATGAGAGGGAGCCAGCCTTGCTAAGATCTGGGGTAAGAGGGTTCTGAGTTCTAAGGAACAGCAAATGCAAAAGCAGGGACCTGAGGCAGGAACAAACTTGACTCTTGGAGAGTTAGAAAGAGGGCCAGTGTGACTGGAGGTCAGTGGTATTCTCGAGATACCCTTAGAGAGGCTGGTGTGGGGCCAGGATTGGACTGTATACAATGACTAGTTGCATCTAGGAAATCAGTGAGGCGTAGGCTGCTGCAGGCCTCCAGGTGATATTGGTGATGGTTTTCCTGGGTTCTCCAAGGTCCAGCTCTAATAGTGAAAAGAACACTAGATTCTGAGTCAAAGGTGTGTATGTGCTCCAGCCCTTGCTCTGCTACTGAGGAGCATGTGATCTGAGGGAAAAATTTTTAAAACGACTTTATTGAGACACCGTACAGTTCACACAACTCACTTACTGAAAGAGTACAACTCAGTTTTAGTACAGTCAGAGTTGTGCAACCGTCACAATTTTAGAGCATTTTAATCACCCCTCCCCCCCAAAGAAAGCCCATACCATTTAGCAGTCATTCCCTATTTTCCCTAGTCCTTTCGACCCTTCCTTCCCAGCCTGCCCTAAGCAACCACCAATCTACTTTCTGTATGGATTCTTCTGTGCCTCAGTTTTCTTTTCTACCAAATGGAGACAACAATAGTACTATTAGTCTTAGGGTAGTTGACAGGATAAGCGAAAACCGAGGGCCACTGCTGTGGGTCTATGAAGGGCCTAACATAACGCTCAACCCGTTAGAGAGTCCCTTGCGGGTCCCCAAACGCTGCTGATTTTAATCCCACACCTCTCCGCGACACGCCCCTGACGTCTGTCTCCAAGGCAATGACAAACAGTTTCCTCTCTTTAGAGACTCCGTTCCGGGCGCAGACCGAATTCCTCTCCTTCTCTTTCTCTCTCACCTGCCGGCTCCACTGAGCGCCGCCGGAGGCTCCCGCAGGCCTCCCGACGGTCATCTTCTCCGCGGGGCAGAAAAAGAAGCGGCGGTGACAGCGGCGTGCTACGCTTTGGCTGCGGTGGCTGCACTAGCTACGCGATCAGGTCTCTGATTGGCTCCCAGGCGGATGCCTGAACCAGTCCCGCTTCCCAGGGAGCCTCTAATTCTTCCCGCCCAAGTTGGCAAGGATCGTTTTCTGATTGGCCTACTCTTTGCGCATTCTATATCCGGTTCTAAAGCCGCAACTGAAGCAGCTAGTGATTGGAGGGCTCTGCTCCGGAAGTGCACCAAAAGGAGGGCCTAGCGGGGAGCCAAGTACATTGCGGGTCAGCGTCATGGCGGCTCGCCTGGCTCTGAGCCGGTGGAGGGCTGCACCTGCAGCTGCCGGGAGAGGTCCGCTGCTTTCCTGCCGGCGGTGGTCGGGCGCCAAGGCAGACACCGTGTACGATGTGGTGGTGTCGGGCGGAGGCCTGGTGGGCGCCGCCATGGCTTGTGCCTTGGGTAAGCGCATCTCCAGGCAGGTAGTGGGGAGGAGCGGGACCGTGGAGGAACTGTGAGGACCGTGGGAGCCCTGCGCGACGCGAGTTTTGTGGTCTTTCCCCTATCCAGAGGAGCCCCAGGGCAAGCGTCAGGTCCTTCAGGATTCCGAAGGGTCAGAAGTGGGAGGAGGATCCTTAGGGGTCATTCTAAATCCCGCCCTTTGTAATTTAGGAATGGGCACAGTCGGAAAGTATCAGGCCTTGTATGGGGCTAGGCATTTTGTTTCTTTTAAAAAATAGCTTGAGATATAATTGCATATTATAAAATTAACCCATTTAAAGAATGCGATTTAATGGTTTTTAGTATGTTAACAGATTGTGCATCCATCCCCGCAGTAAATTTTAGAACATTTTTATTACCCTCCACCCTGCAAAAGAAACAGGAAGCACTTAGTCGCTGCCCACTTCCCCCCAAACCTCCTCAACCCTAGGCAACCACTCCTGAACATATTGGTCTCTCTAGATTTGTTTTTTCCTGACATTTTTATATACATCGATTTTGCTTAATGTTTTAAAGGTTTATCCAGGTTGTATCTGTACCAGTACTTTTTTTTTTTTTTTTTTTTTTTTTTTTTTTTTTTAGTTTATTTATTTTGAGAGAGCCAGCTCTCGAGCAGGGCAAGGGCAGAGAGCGAGAGGGAGAGAGAGAATCCTAAGCAGGCTCCGTGCTGTCATTGCAGAGCCCAATGGGGGCTCTGTCCCACATACTGGGAGATCATGACTAAAGTCAAGAGTCACTTGACTGAGCCCCCCAGGTGCCCCATTAGTACTTCCTTTTTATGGTTGAATAATATTCCATTGTGTGAATGTATTTATTACCTTTGGTTTGTTTGTTGATGGGCATTTGGGTTGTTTCCACTTCTGGACTATTACAGATAATGCTATTTTGTGTACAAGCTTGTGTGTAAACATATTTTTGGCTACTTGGTTCTATTTCTAGGAGTGGAATTGCTGGATCACATGCTAACTGTTTTGAAGAGCTGCCCAATGGTATTTCAAGGTGCACATCCTGGACGGCACTTGATACTACCAAGATACTGTAGTCTTCCTAGTGGGTGTGAAGTGGTATTTCCTGGTTTGACTTGCATTTCCCTAGTGAGTGAGGATGTTGAAGTATCCTTTCATATGCTTATTGGCCGTTTGTATATCTTCTTTGGAGAAATGCCTATTCAGAACCTTTCCCCATTTTATTTCTATGTATGTATATTTATTTTTTAAGTTTATTTATTTTTAAGAGAGAGAGGGAGAGAGAGAATTCCATCCAGGCTCCATACTGTCAGTATGAGCCTGAAGGATGAGATCATGAGCTGAGACAAAGCCGGCTGCTTAACTGACTGAGCCATGCAGGCACCCCTCATAATCTTTTTTTTTTT